AGCATGCATGGGAGAGGGTCAGAGAGAGAGGGAGACACAGAATCCGAAACAGGCTCCAGGCTCTGAGCTGTCAGCACAGAGCCCGATGCGGGGCTCGAACTCACGGACTACGAGATCATGACTTAAGCCGAAGTCGGTCGCCCAACCGACTGAGCCACCCAGGAGCCCCAATCCCTTACTTTTTCAAGAAACAATATTAAGAAACATAAATGAACATCTACTAAAGAAGGAATAGCCTCAGAAGGATAATGCCTATACTGGGATCCTAGGCTAGAGAGAGCTCACCCGAAATTCCATGACATCCACAAATGACTGGTAGTAGTTGATGAGGAATCTAATTATCTCAGATTTTTCTCGATGTACTGGTCCTAAATGTTGCTGAGGGAAACACAAAGCAAAAATTTTAAAACACAAAATAACATAATTGTTCAAGATAATCCAAGGAGAATAGGAGTCGTGCCTAAAACATTCTTGAAAAGACTTGAAATACACGGACAGGCAAAGTTGGAAAATCTCCAATGCTCTGAAGGTCTTAAACAGAGGAGAATCTCTAGGTAAGATGATGCGTATAATCTTGACTAGATACAGAGTGCTAAATGAGAGGAAACTTCAAGGTCTCTTTCAGTCAAAGAGGCTTGCCATTTATATTAAAGTCAAAAGAAGCAGAATGAGAAGATGCTATATGTATAATGGTAAGAAATCTAGGGCTAATATTTAATGGAGGAGAACTAAGGAACATTCCACGAGATGCCTGATTCTCAGATAATCAGCAAGGAAACAGAGGGGGAAACAGGAACAACGGTAAAATAAATGTACCTTGCGGGGTTGATCAAGCTGTCTTCCTCTATAAGAACAAAGTGTTCTCGTGAATCTTGCAACGGAGAAAGGGGCAATGCTTTGCTCTAGCTTACCCTGAGAGAATCCCATCTTATCTCAGAACTCTCAAGATTACAAGAGCCTGAAGACCTGTGGTTGAGCCCAGGAAAACTAAAAGGAGGCTACTCTATCCCCTGCCAAGTTCAAAGAAAGGCAGTTAAAAGAGGCGAGTTCAAGCCATCCAAGCACAGAATTATTTCAGAGAAAAGAGAGGAGAGGGATCATGTTCTCACCGTGCTGCTTCGGACATCAATGTTGGGAAATTTCTTGTTGATATACTTGAGAGAAGGTTCCATGGACTTTTCCAGTAAAAAAGGTGGCTTGGATTTGGGGTCTGAGCAAGTCTGCACCAATAAAGCACATTCTGTTTCAACCCTTTCTCCTGTCCCTCCAAACATACCCCTCCCTGCAGCATTCATTCTCACACAGTCTCGTGGAAAGGGAATCTGAGAATTCATTATGAAAGCATTATGAAAGTCTACTGTTAAGTAGACGAGGAACAAGCTCCAAGACATGAAGCCAACTATCAGTAGAGCTGAACAACCTGGGTATCTTGTCTCACGGAGAAGAATTCAGCGAATTCAGCGTCTGCTGGGGCCCCAGCGCAAAGAGGAAGCTCTCTCCCCACCCCTCAGCTGAAGCCGGAAGGAGTGAGAAAAGCAGCTGCTCCTGAATTAGACTTCATGGGCAAGTGTGTCACAATTATGTCCATATATAAGTATCTCACCCAGAGGGCATTTGTAGGAGTCACGGGGTCAGACAAACCACGTTCCTGGTGATTTGTTTTATTACAAAATGCATAAAAGTTCCCTCTCCCTATTTTCTCTTCCAGAAACTCCCCACTCCCGCCCGTCTTTATCTCTTTACTTCCCTAGGCCCAGCTCCTTGCCCCCCACCCACCCCCCACCCCACAGCCCCGCCTAGTCTCACTCTTGTCACCAGCCTCTCTCAACTCAACAGATCCTATCCTAAGCATACACACACAACCAGAGCATGAACTCTCAGACTCTAAGTATCTCAGAAGGCACCTACCCATATTTTATTGAAATATCTATTTTCTTCCTTTTAGGTAAGTACTTCCATGGAAAAGTTTTTGCCAGAGACCCAACTTTGGATGTCTTCAGAGTATGGGAGATCAACAATAAACAATGAGACCCAGAATTCTAGATCCCAGACCTTATTCAAGTGACTCAGAACAAAATTATTTCCTACCTCCATATGCCCAGCAGAAAGCAGACACTCTCATTGGGGTGAGAATCATATCGAGAAGGGGAAAGCCCTTAAAAAGAGCCTCCCATTCTGCCTTCCTACACTGGCTGGCCTATGTAATCCGAGTGACTGAAGGCCAGTGGGAAAGAAGAGGAGTCTAGCCCCTGGAACTGCCAGCCACGGGGTCCCCTGCCCTACTGTTGCTGGATTAATTAGTACTGGCCCAGTTGTTCATACTTACCTTCTTGATGTTATACATGCGGATGAGAACCCCCTGACCTCGATCATTCAGAATAGTGAGCTTCTCGGCTAATTTATGCTGGTAGGCAGAGGTCAAAGACATGATGGCCACCAAAAGAGAGGAGTATCCGGACAGCAATGCCGAATCTCCCCAAACACTTTCAGCTTGGGTGGTGACACCCCCTGGGCGGAGGGACCCAGCCTGGTTGGTGCGCTGGTCTTCCTGTAGCCTCTACAATTGGCTCATGGGGGAAAGCAGTCATTACAGCTCACAGGCCTTCAGAATCTTCTTGTGCTTCCTCTTGCACACTCAGCAGGAGACACTTCCTCTTTCTAGCTGTGTAGCATTTTTGGTAAGACTGTGAAGTTGGTGGAGGCAGGGGAGAGGGACAGGCTTTCAAGGCTCCTCACAGTCTAGCACCAACCTTTTTGGCCTTACCCCTTCACTAGAGTCCTATAAAAAGCTCTGTACCAGACAAACAAGTATCGACTACCCCACTCCCATCCACCTTTATGCTTTTTCTCTTTTATATATCCCCATCAAGAACACCTATGTTAGGGGCGCCTGGGTGGCTCAGTCGGTTAAGTGTCCAACTTCGGCACAGGTCATGATCTCATGGTTTGTGATTTCGAGCCCCACATCAGGCTCTGTGCTGATAGCTTGGAGCCTGGAGCCTGCTTCAGATTCTGTGTCTCCCTCTCTCTCTGCCTCTCCCCTGCTCATACTCTGTCTCTCTCAAAAATAAATAAACGTTTAAAAAAAATTTTTTTTTTAAAAAGGAACACCTAGGGGCGCCTGGGTGGCGCAGTCGGTTAGGTGTCCGACTTCAGCCAGGTCACGATCTCGCGGTCCGGGAGTTCGAGCCCCGCATTGGGCTCTGGGCTGATGGCTCAGAGCCTGGAGCCTGTTTCCGATTCTGTGTCTCCCTCTCTCTCTGCCCCTCCCCCATTCATGCTCTGTCTCTCTCTGTCCCAAAAATAAATAAAACGTTGAAAAAAAAATTAAAAAAATAAAATAAAATAAAATAAAAATAAAAAGGAACACCTATGTTATTCTCAGCTGAACCTTAGGCCTATCCATCTTTTAGGGCCCAGATTAAATCCCAAATCCTCCACATTATCCCTTCCAGTGTCAAATACTATACAGAACACCATATTCTTCACCATATTTTTAAGTATATGACTTATCTCCCCCAACCACATCATAAGCCCCTTAATGACAGGAATTGTATCTAATACTTCTTCATATCTTTCACAATACTTTAATACAGTGATTCTTAAAATGTAGTCATATCAGCATCATCTAGAAACTTGTTAGAATGCATATTCCCAGGACCCACTCCAGACCTACTGAATCCAAAACTCTGGGGTAGGGTCCAGCACTCTGTGTTTCAATAAACCTTCCAAGTAATTCCAATGTACTCTCAAGTTTGAGAACCACTGCTCTTGCACAAGATTTCATTTTTTTTTTTAAGTTTATTTATTTATTTTGAGAGAGAGAACAGTCACACAAGTGGGGAAGGCACAGAGAGACAGTGCGAGAGAGAATCCAAAGCAGGCTCCACATTGTCAGAGCAGAGCCCGATGTGGGGCTTGAACTCACAAACTGTGAGATCATGACCTGAGCTGAAATGAAGAATTGGATGCTTAACCTACTAAGCCACCCAGGCCCGCATCTAGTACAATAGCTCTTAAAGGTGCTTAAGAAACTGAGATCAGTCCCTATCCTCTGAGATTCAGGATTGGTAACTCTGCAGTGAGGCCTAGAAATCTGCATTTCTAAGTACCATGGGAGGATTTGGTGCAAATATTCCATCAAATACATGTTGAGAAACACTGATCTAGAACACCACCTCTTGGACTCAACCACTTAGTAAAGATGCTGACTCGTTTGTTGAATTATTAAGACTAAATTGGGAAATAGGCCACATGAAGAACCATATTAACTGAGATTAACAAGGGAAAAGTAATTAATAGACTTTAAATGTTAGAAGGCTGAATAAATTTTAGCACTAAAAAATTCTTGCCATTCTAACCAGGCCTTAGCTCCCTAATTCAAGAAAACCAACTCACTTTCATGTTTCTTTCAAGGAGAAAAGCAGAAAGTCTTCAGAAAAATTCTACGTTAAACAGAGTTGTCTTCATATCTACTTCCTTTCCAATACCTTTTCTCCACTTTTCTTTTAAAAAAATTTTTTAACGTTTATTTATTTGAGAGAGAGGGAGAGAGACAGAGCGCGAGTGGAGGTGGGACAGAGAGAGAGGGAAACACAGAATCTGAAGCAGGCTCCAGGCTCCCAAGTGGTCATCGGCACAGAGCCTGATGCGGGGCTCAAACTCATGAACCGCAAGATCATGACCTGAGCTAAAGTCGGACCCTCAACCGACAGAGCCACCCAGGCACCCCCTTCCACTTTTCAATCATTCTCATTAGCCATATCCAGGGCTCTTACATTATTCCAATAAATCCTGGGATGGAGGGATAGGAGAGCTGATTGGCATTATTATACACAGATCTTAATATGTTTGTTCTCAAGATAATGTCTCTTTTAAAGAAACAAGATGACAGTGCTTAACACACAAAATTTCAAACATCCCTAAGGGAAACTTTATACTCCTAGAAAACAGAATCTGCCTTCCAGTTTATTTACTAGATAGAATCCCTAGAAAGCTAGGGGCCTGGAATGAGGTGTTATTGGCCCTGAAGATTTGAATTACCCGCTATTCTCAAAGAAACCCAGGTTCTACTAAAGACATTGGTGGGATTTCTACTGGTCTTTCACCTTGATGGGGGAGATTAAGAGCAGTTGCTGAGGCACCAACAGGTAGGAAGCACAGCTGCCATATAGCCGCAGCCTTTTTAACAGGTTAGTATAGTTTCATTGGATCTTTTTCACTTGCATTTGTTATCCTCCTGAAAATTTTGTTGAAGACTCTCCATACCAAGCCAATCTTTTCCCCTGTTCCCAAATGCATACGCCCCAACCCAGCAGGGACCAGCCTAGTAGTCTACTGTGAATGTGCCACATTCATTTCTGCCTTTCTCATGATGTGTGCTTTCCCTCTTGCTGACCCAAATCCTACTCGATCTTCTGAATCTGGCTCAAAGAGTCCTAAGTCTGGCCCTTGCTGAACTCCTGCGGTATTTGGTCACTACCACATATTTTACACTTAAATTAGGTCCCATCTTTGACTGCCTGTTTCATATTCTACTGCCACCCCAGCTGAACTGTAAGATTGCTGGAGACTGGAAAACACTTATTTGCTTGTATTTAGTATATGTGAAAACCCTACATTTTGGCATAGGACAGATTTTGGGCTTGAATGTAGTTGAGTCCAATGGACAAAGCCTTATGATTTAGAGGCAAGAAGCCCAGGTTATGGAGCCATAAAGCTTGAGTTCATATCCCAACTCTATCATTTAGCAGCTCTGATCCAGTTTCCCTGCCTGCAAAATGGAGATATTGATAACAGTTCCTACCGAAAGGAACTGTATTAAGGTCCTACACGCGAAGTGATGACCTAGTTATATACTAGGGACCCGGTACTTTAAGTGCTTTGTACGTTTTACCTCAAATAATTCTAATGTTATTCAAACATGTGCTAGCTTTGTAACTTCAGGATCTCACTCACTCACGGAGTTGGTTTCCTAATCTATAAAACCGTGGTGATTCCTCATATACCTGTAGAAGTGGTTACATTCCTCATATACCTGTAGAAGTGGTGTTTGTAAACATTCAGCTCAAGGCCTGGTACGCTGGATTAAGAATGCCAAAAAGAAAGTAAAATTTGGGTGTTTTTAGTATGTGATGAGCTTATGTCACTTTCTGTGAAATTCTACTTGGCATCACATAAAGAAAAAGGCCAGATTTAAAGATGGGACTAATTGTTCCAACTGGTAGACTTTAGAGAAACTTCATTGGAAAGACCATGGAGCAGTTCCTCCTGGAAACTGAAAGAACCCTTCTGAGGGTGGTTCAATTACCCCCGGGCAGGGCCTAGTAACCCCGGCTACAAGTCAGAATCCCCTGTGGAACTCTTTTAAAGCCACAGTTAGTCAGACCTCATGTGTGAAGATTCTGATCTGCTAGTTCTGGAAGATCTGTCACTTTAAAACTACTCAGTGATTTTCATGCACAACCAAGATTGAAAAACAGTCATTCAAGACTTAACTATGACATCAAAAACTTCCAAACCTCTTGAGAAACCGTAGACCATATGGTGGGAGAAGAGGAATTGAGTAGCTGGAACAGAAAGTTGATTTACATCACTTGACAAAGGTACTTTGCTCTCCCTCACCCCAAACTTTTGCGAAATTTGCCTTGTTCTGACTTGTAGGATTGTTTCCCTCTTCAGATTCAGACACACTTCCCTTCAGATTCTTGAGAGACACTGCTTCAAGAATAACTTAAGAGGTCTCAAAGGCCTCTAGATTCAGTTTGTCAAAGTAGCTTCGAGGCTACAACTCTCTCACCAAGTCTAATACATATTAAATCAAATGGCCTCCATTATAGTCTTGGCCTCCCAACATGGGATATTCAGCTATCGATAATTAGACGAATGGTCCAAGCTTACCAATTCTTGCTGCCACTTTTGAAGCACTCTTTGTTAAGACCAGCCTTATCAGTCTGATCAAACTTTATACTTTTCTAGGCTGCTGGATAAAATAAGGGTTTGGGGTTATCTGAAGACTACATTTTAGTATTAAAGCTCTTCTTCTATTATCTTTAAGAATCTAAAGATAACTGTATGATAGTGGATTATACTGCAGGTGTTATTTTCCAGAAAGCCAATTCACTTTATAGTAAGTGTTCGTGGCTCTAGTATTATCATTAACATGCAGTGTAAGCTTGAAAGAGCCACCCTGGCTTGCGTTCCTGAAAGGCACCTGAGTGTAAATCCCTGGACTTAATCATCTAAATGCTCTCAGGAAAATCTGACATTTAACAGTCTAGCTCTGTGCCCTTTGTCTATGCCCTAGGCATGATCCAAAGCAGAATTGAAATGGGCTATTCTAGGCACTTTTCTATCCTTCCTTCTTATGCCACTCTGCCTTGATCCTCCCCCCCCCCCCCCCCCATCTCAATCAGACTATGCTGTCCCTGCTTTGCAGAAATCTCAGCTGTAGCTGTTGCCTGGAAACTTGGGAGTCCTTGAAGTGAATGTCTCCTAGGATAGCTAAAGACAGCTAGCCATAAGGGAAAGTAGGCCTCCTATTGGCAGTCAAATGTGGCAGATTTGAGATGGTATATTCTTAGTTCTTTCTAGGAGTCTTCATATGCTGATACGTACAACTTTAAAGATTTCAGACTGGCATTCGCAGATAATTATAAAGTAGCCTGAACTTGAACATGGTACTGTTCATTCTTCTATTGCCCTCTCCCCAAAAGGGCTATGCTGATCTGACAAGTAGCATCTTTGTCTAGCAAAGGGCTTAATTTAGATAGATTTGGCAAAGAGAAGGAAGGGAGCAATGCTGAACTGTAAAGGAACCAGCTGCCCCGGCCTTGCTTTCCTGAACACTCAAGCTGATGGTGCTGAATTTCATCTTACCCCAGTACTGTGAGCTTTCCAAAGAGCCTTGTCTGTTTAATACTCTATTTGGGGGCACAGAATTCTATTCAAAAGAACCCATAAGACTAAAATATATGTATAAATGTTAATTTTTAGTTTTCCAAGGCATGTAAGCCGTGCAGTTCTCCTATTAGCTGACTAGGCTATTGCTTTAGACATGCAAAACTTTCATAGGGAGATACCCATATCTTTGCCTCTTTTTTTGAGAACAGAAAGTAGGCCTATGTCAAAACTACTTGATCTTAAATGTCAATATTTTCTTTGTCAACCCAAGGTTCCTACTATTTAGGCCTCATGGAGCCAGAAGTCCTAGAAATATGTCCTTATGACCCAAACCACAGGATGCCAGCCAACAGGTTACAGTACCACCTGGCATCATGTAGAAAGGTACGTTTTCCTGGTTAATACAAAATGTTGGGATACCTGGGTGGCTCAGTCAGTTAAGCATCCCACTCTTGGTTTCAGCTCGGGTCATGATCTCAGTTTGTGAGTTCCAGTCCTGCATCAGGCTCTGTGCTGATGGCGTGGAGCCTGCTTGGAATTCTCTCTCTCCTTCTCTCCCTCTCTCAATCTCTCTCTCTCTCTCTCAAATAAATAAATAAACTTTTTAAAAAATGTTAAATCACTGGTGGAAGAAATATAAGCTCAACATAAAAAGTTAAAAGATTAAAAAAAAAAAAGAACAAGCTTCTGACCATACATAGCAATTAGCAGTTCTTAATGTTGGAAATGGTTTGTCTTCAGCATTTCCTGAAAGGAATGGAGGGTACAATACAGGCAAAACCTAATAGCCATTTCACAAGAGCCTTTTTCTTTTAGAAAAATCTGAAGATAGCTAAAAAGATGGCTAATTGCAAATATAATGCTTGCCATGTGGTCCCAGTCAAAAGGCTCAAGGAACATGAGGCTAACTGTGTCAATAGAACTGCTGTAGATGATGGTAAGTCTTTTTTTTGGGGGGGGGGGGGAGAATAGATGAGTGGCATCAAGTTCTATTGCCCCTTGCCCTCCATATTTCATAACTAGGGAAGTCTTAGCCCACTAAGAGGAATGAAAAACAAAAGGAAGTTTCTACTCTGCTTCTACAACTTCTGATCTGCTTTATTTCAGAGCCATTTAATCTTCCAAAGGTTATTTCTCCGAGTTTGGAGCCAAATGAAAAACTTGCTAATACTGCCAATCAGATTCTAGACCCTGACGTCTGGAACATAGGTGAGCAAGGGTGAAACAGTGAACACAGCCATAAGTGAAGGCTTGGACTCTAAGTCCTTCATAGCTGATAAGTACTGTAGTCCTGGATAAATTAAGTCTTAATACTCCTCCCACAAAATCCTTCAACACAGTCAAATAAATCTGGGAATTTCATCTGCATCTGGAGAAGCAACCCAGCAAAAAGGGATCTAATTAAAACCAAAAATCATTTATAACAGCTTAAAGAATCTTACCTTACCAATATCTGGTCACTTTCCATAGAAAAAAGTATTGGTATAAATTGAAACTTGTAGTCTAAAAGGTTTGGATTTATCCCATCTCAAGTGATATCCTTTCTCTAAAATGTAGCATGCCATAAAGAATTCACTAGTTTTTCAGTCAGTCTAGGTTCAACTATATGCTGTGGCCATAAGGAAAGTTACTTCTCAACCACATCTCCCTCACCTATAAAGGTATAACACCTACCTTATAAGTATTAAATAAAGATGTATGTGTGTATTAGAATAATGCAAGTTCCTTTAACAGATAAAGTTCAAGTTGTGTTGGTATCCTGGTTTAACACAACAGAAGTTTCCTTGTGTAACCCAATGCAAGCATTCAGTGGGGACGGTGGATTGAGACCACAGGCTCTTTTCATCTGTGACTGTCACCTTCCACGCTTGGCTTCCCAAACTGCCACAAAAAGACAGTGGAGGTGCAGGTGCCTCTTAAGCAGCTTGACCCAGAAGAAAATACTTCCACTCACATTCCATTGGCAAAAACTAATCATATGGCCACACCTAAGGTAAAACTGGTGGGAACGTTGTCCCTGGCAGCACAGGCAATTTCCAGCAACAACTATGGAAGAGAGATTCAAATCTCTGCTGCCAACTAGCTTTCTCTGCAACAATCTAAAAATGCTTAGTACTGGGGCACCTGGGTGGCTCAGTCGGTGGGGTGTCTGACTCTTCAGGTCATGGTCTCACAGTTAATGGGTTCGAGCCCTGCATCGGGCTCCATGCTGATGGGGCAGGGCCTGCTTGGGACTCTCTCTCTCTCTCTCCCTCTCTCTGCTCCTTCAGCATGCATTCCTCTCATAAAATAAATAAACTTTAAAAAAATTAAAAATTAAAAAAAAATGCTTAGTACTTGTATCACATCTCCATCCTCTCTCCTCCTTTCTAGATAACACATACCATTCTCCTTTATTTGTTCTTAAGACATTTGCTCCAAAAATGTTGGTTTGTGAAAGGTAAGATAAATCATCTTACAGAAGTCATTGGAATAGTAGGGTGCCTGGTAGCTCACTCAGCTGAGCGTGTAGATTTTGGCTCAGTAATGATCCCAGGGTCATGGGATTAAGCCTCACATTAGGCTCTGTGCTGAGCATGGAACCTAAGATTCTCCCTCTCTTTCTCTCTCTCTCCCTTTGCCTCTCTCCCTCGCTTGCATACTCTCTCTAAAAAAAATTTTTAAAGTTATTGGAACAGAGAGAAAAATACCTTTAAGTTCAATTCTTAAAGCTAGATGGCCACTACGTCATAGACCTGGCAGATGCCTAAACTTCAATTATAAATGTTTAAAAACCTATACTCATGGGCTCTGAGTACCTCCATTCCCTCCCTAAGGCTCCACTTAGGACTTTAATCCATTAAGGACTTGATTACACAGGTTGTCAATTCTATCTTAGATTTTCAAAAATAAAAAAAAACAATTCCTAAAATTGTAAAGGGAAAATAATTATTATACTACACATGAACCAACCTAACAAGGATCCCCAACCTAACAAGCTTGAAGGGCACATCTACGAGTTAGAGAAGCCAGGGCACTTGGGTGGCTCAGTAGGTTAAGCATCTGACTCTTGGTTTCGGCTCAGGTCATGATCTCTTGGGTAGTGAGTTTGAGTCCCACACTGGGCTCCGTGCTGACAGTGCAGAGCCTGCTTAGGATTCTCTCTCTCTCCTTCTCTTTCTGTCCCTCCCCTGCTCTCTCTCGCTCTCTCTCTTAAAATAAGTAAACTAAAAAACAAGAGTTAGAGGGGCACCTGAGTGGCTCAGTTGGTTAAGTGTCTCACTTCAGCTCAGGTCATGATCTCATGGTTCATGGGTTCAGGCCCTGTATCAGGCTCTGTGCTGACAGCTCAGAGCCTGGAGCCTGCTTCAGATTCTGTGTCTCCCTCTCTCTCTGCCCCTCCCCTACTCGAATGTACTCTGTCTCTGTCTCTCAAAAATAAATAAGACATTAAAAAAATTTAAAAAATAAAAAGAGAGAGAGAGAAGCCATCAATGGAATTACCCACCACATGTACAGGGGTATGGGAAGTACAAAGGAACTGTATAAACAGAAGCTTGCACAAAGTCAGTAATTCCTACTCTGACAATAATATCAACCATTTGTGATAAAGTAATTTTAACCTCTGGAGCACCTGGGTGGCTCAGTCAGTTAAGCATCTGACTTGTGACGTTGGCTCAGGTCATGATCTCACAGTTTGTGAGATGGAGTCCCACACCAGGCTCTGTGCTGACAGCTCAGAGCCTGCTTGGGATTCTTTCTCTCCCTCTGCCCCTCCCCCACTCATGCACGCTCTCCCTTTCTCTTTCCCAAAATAAATAAATAAACCTTTTTTATAAAGTGATTTTAATCCCCTAGAACTGGTTATCTAAACTAAATCTTCAGTGCTGGTCTCCAACTAATTTTCCTTTTTTGGTTATCTTCTACAGTGACTCAAGAGACATAAAAAAAGAGACTATGGATGAAAAACATCCTAACAACTATAAGTCCTGGAGAAAAGGTAGAGTGACTTTTTTTTTTTTTTAATTTTTTTTTTCAACGTTTATTTATTTTTGGGACAGAGAGAGACAGAGCATGAACAGGGGAGGGGCAGAGAGAGAGGGAGACACAGAATCAGAAACAGGCTCCAGGCTCTGAGCCATCAGCCCAGAGCCTGACGCGGGGCTCGAACTCACAGACCGCAAGATCATGACCTGACTGAAGTCGGACGCTTAACCGACTGCACCACCCAGGTGCCCCTAGAGTAACTTTTTTAAACTAGTGGGTCCCTGGGTGGTTCAGTCAATTAAGTGTCTGACTCTTGATTTATGCTCAGGTCATGACCTTGGGGTCATGAAGTCAAACCCCAAGTCAGACTCCGCACTGGGTGTGGAGCCTGTTTAAGATTCTCCCATTCAGGGCACCTGGGTGGTTCAGTGGGTAGAGCATCTGACTTTGGCTCAGGTCATGATCTCCCGGTTTGTGAGTTCGTGCCCCGCGATGGGCTCTGTGCTGACAGCTCAGAGCCTGGAGCCTGCTTTGGATTCTGTGTCTCCCTCTCTCTCTGCCCCTCCCCCACTCACACTCTGTCTCTCTCTCTCCTTCAAAAATAAACATTTAAAAAACAAAAAAGATTCTCACTTTCCTTTTCCCTCTGACCCTGCCCCTCTCACACTTAGGCTTGCACTTGCACTCTCTCAAAAAAAAACTATCAATATCATAGTTCTATGATATTAACATAGTTTTAACTAATCACTAATGTCGTATTCTAAATCTTCAAAGTTTCTTAGACAAACTTTTATTCTTTAAAGAAATAAACCATATTTTCTATTCTAAGTCCTTCTCCACACCAAATAGTAGAATGCAAGGAAAGTCCCAATGGCTTTAAGTCAGAGTATGGAGAAAGAGCTGTCTAAAACTCTATTTGAAATGCAACTAACACATATCAAGCTTAGGTCTTCTATAAAAACACTATAAAAAATGACACTACTTTAATGTTCTCTTTCTACCCATAGGTCAGAAAAACTGATGGAGAAGCTGTGGATTAAAGAGCCAGCAGACAGAAAATGTATTGTCCTTTTTCAAACTTTGGGGAAATCTTAACTGTCAAGTTTTAGATAACAACTCCAGTCATTGTTGGCATCTTAGTATGTTTTTATTTATTTAAATAAAGAATATCCTTCCTGTGACCGGCTTCATTTGGTTTTTTAGTCTTCCTTGTTTTCATATCCTCATTTGTCAACCAAAAGGCTAGAGGGCTTTTTTGCCTATTTCCCTTATTAGTGGAGGAAATACAGTAACCTTAATCATATCCTTTTTTGTTTTTCTTTTTTTACCATTTATTCAGTTTTAAGAGAGAGAGACAGAGCATGAGCAGGGTAGGGGCAGAGAGAGACACACAGAATCTGAAGCAGGCTCCAGACTCCGAGCTGTCAGCACACAGCCAGACGTGGGGCTCGAACTCACAAACCATGAGATCATGACCTGAGCTGAAGTCGGACGCTTAACCGACTGAGCCACCCAGGCGCCCCCTTAATCAGATTCTTTATCCTCCGATTATTTTTCTCCTACTCCAAGTCATGTACTACATGACCATCAGATCAACCTTCTTCAATTAATTTTGTACAAACCTTCCATGTTTAAAAGATACAGTTTTGGGGAATGAAAACTGGTGCAGCCACTCTGGAAAACAATATGGAGGTTCCTCAAAAAATTAAAAATAGAACTACCCTACAACCCAGCAATTGCACTACTAGGTACTTATCCAAGGGATACAGGGGTGCTATTTCTAAGGGACACATGCACCCCCATGTTTACAGCAGCACTATCAATAATAGCCAAAGTATGGAAGAGCCCAAATGTTCATCGATAGATGAATGGATAAAGAAGATGTGGTATGTATGTGTGTGTGCATATATATATGTATACGCACACGCACACACACACACACAATGGAGTATTACTGGGCAATCAAAAAAAATGAAACCTTGCCATTTGCAACTACGTGGATAGAACTATAGGATATTATGCTAACCGAAATTAGTCAGAGAAAGACAAATATCATATGATTTCATCATACGAGGGCTTTAAGATACAAAACAGATGAACATAAGGGAAGGGAAGCAAAAAAATATATAAAAACAGGAAAGGGGATAAAACATAGGAGACTCTTAAATATGGAGAACAAACAGGATTACTAGAGGGGTTGTGGGAGAGGGGATGGGCTAAATGGGTAAGGGGCATTAAGGAATCTACTCCTGAGATCATTGTTGCACTATATGCTAACTTAGATGTAAATTAAAAAAATAAAAACTTCAAAAAGAAGTAAAAAAAAAAAAAGGATACAGTTTTTAGGAGCATCTGACTCAGTCAGTAGAGCATGTGACTCTTGATCTCAGGGTTGTGAGTTTAAGCCCCATGCAAACAAAAAAGATATCGTTTTTATGAGAAGCTGAGTCTGGAGCATGTCTCCAAATCTCCCTTCTTAACTCTATAGAAGTCAGGTTATTCCAATCTTATATACACCTTATTCTTTGCTACTCTGTTCATTTTTAAATGTTACCCCTTGCCCTTCAACCATTGAAATCTCTTTCTAGCTGTTTTGTTTTTTTTTAAGGCTAATTCTTATGCCTCACCACATTTAAACTTACCAGGTATCCAACCTCAACCATACCACAAATCTTCACAAGAGAAGTCAGAATCACATGCTGCTTTGTATTTGCTATACCATATATCACTAGCCTGGTGCTATGCATCTAGGAGATATTCACATACTTGGTGCTTAAACTGAATCAAGACCCAATTTATAACAGGCCAAAATTTGTTCCTTTTAAGCTGTTGTTTTTGTTTTTTGTTTTTTGTTTTTTGCAGCTAGCTAATTTTAAAATGACTTCAGGGACACCTGGGTGGCTCAGTCTGTTAAACGTCTGACTTCAGCTCGGGTCATGATCACATGGTTCATGGGTTCCAGCCCCACATAGGGCTCTGTGCTGACAGCTCAGAGCCTGGAGCCTGCTTTGGATCCTGTGTCTCCCTCGCTCTCTGCCCCTCCCTGGCTTGTGCTCTGACTCCCTTTCTCTCTCAAAAATGAATAAACATTAAAAAATTTTTTTTAAATAATGACTTTTTTTTTGCTAGTTTACTGAGTAGTTCAGGTATAGTTAGACTTACAATTAAAAGTAGAAATTATAATCAAATGGATATTTTCTGACCCTATGAGACTTATTCCTACCTAAATACTTTCTAGATCCTTTTCAGATGATCTTTTTCTCCCCTTTAAAGCAGAAAATAGAAGGGAGAATAACTAGATACCTACAGAATCTAGCACATTCTAGTATACTTTGTACAAAGGAGGGCTACTGACTTGCTCCCTTGTATTTACATAATATAAACAAGATTTTCATCTAAGGCCTTACACAGATTTTGAATTTTTTAAATTACACTTTGGTATATTAACACCAAACTATATGAAAATTAAAATGTTTCCTAGGTGGAGCACCTGGGTGGCTCAGTTGGTTAAGCATCCAACTTCAGCTCAGGTCGTGATCCCATGGTTTGTGAGTTCAAGCCCCATATTGGACTCTGTGCTGACAGCTCAGAGCCTGGAGGCTGCTTCAGATTCTGGGTCTCCCTCTCTCTCTGCCCCTCCCCAGCTCACAGTCTCTATCTCTCTCTCTTTCTCTCAAAAATAAATAAACCTTTGAAAAAAAACTTCAAGAAAATGTTTCCTAGGAAAAATAGCCCAAAAGACAAAGATGTCTTCCTTTATCATATTTTAGGTATATGGTATCGTCCCCTAAAAAGCCATGTAGTCTTAATTGATTGGTGTGACCACATAATTTTTCCTTCAAACCAGGATACTCTTGAGCATGAAGGGGGGGAACAACAATTATCCTAGGATAACAACAACAACAACACGTTGGCCACCCTACTCTTAAGGGATAAAACATCATTAATTAGGCAGCTGCCATTCAAAATATAGATGTCAGATCTACTCAAATCTCACTTTGAGAAGTTTTGAGTTCATTGGAGGAAGGCACAATAGAAACTAAAATATCACTTTTTTTTTTTTTTGGCCTTTGACGTAACATTTGGTCAAAGCTTTGAAAGTAAACAAACTTATGGAAAAATACTTAAAAGGAAAAAAAAAAGCAAAGTTTCAAAGTAACTGCCTCAAAGCCTGCCTAGATCCCCAAAGTCTTAATTATTCCCCCATACTCCCATAACAGGTGGTGTATGTCTCCATTTAATGTCCCTTCATTCTGATTTATTATTATTTTACTATAAGGTGCTTTAGGAGAGACACGATCTTGACTATGTAACAGTTCTGTGCCTACAAAAAAAAAGAAAAATCAAAGTTGCTGAACATGGAAGAATCTATATAGACATGGGGTATAAAGAAGACTCAGTGCCCTGGATTAAATATTTATACTGAATATATCAATCTTTCAAAAACCTTGGTAACCAGAATCACTCATTTTCACCAAAAAGTCCTAACAAAGCAATTTAAATTGTATTTATGTAATGCTAACAAGCCTTCCTAGCTATGAAGTTTCTTCCCTACAATCACGTTTAGGATTTCTACTCTCACATTCACAGTATGATGGGGAAACAATTGCTAAGGCCCATTACTCATGTCATAATGTACCAAACTATAGCTCATTGGTTCCCCAGCTTTATCTTATTGTTGGTCCATACTTCTTGACCTTTCTGTGCAGGCTTCCCAAGCAACTGTGGTATAAAACGAGGAAAGGACAAATCTCCAATATTTTAGTCTCTTCTTCCCACGTTTTCTTACAAGGTAGATGATGTCTCACAGTTGTCCTAACAGCTCCTGACAAAATACACCTGTGCTCTAAAATAATCAAGTATCTACTGTGCTTGCCACACTATGTTAAGAACTACAGTGGCGTGGTCCATTATAAAGGAACAATGTTGACAGTAAGAGTATAAGGCAATGGTTCTCCAACTTTCGTGGGTATCAAAATCACACGAAGGCCTTGCTAAAACACAGATGAAAGGACATCTCACCCGAGCTTCTGATTCAGTACGTCTGTAGTAAGTCCTAAGAACTGGCATTTTCTCAAGTTCCTAAGTGATACTGATGCTGCAATTTGGGACCACACTTTGAGAACCACTGATCTAATACACAGTTTAAGTGCTAGGAAGGAAGGAGGGTGGAAGGAGGTTATAAGAAAACATAAGAACTTAATCCCAGGCAAACATTAGGTTTCAGAGAAAAAAATGACCCTTGGGTGACATTTTTATTTTTATCTTATTTTTTGTTTTATTAATAATTTATTTACTTTTTAATTTACATCCAAGTTAGTTAGCATATGGTGCAACAGTGATTTCAGGAGTGGATTCCTTAATGCCCCTTACCCACTTAGCCCATCCCTCCTCCCACAACCCCTCCAGCAACGCTCTGTTTGTTCTCTATATTTAAGAGTCTCTTCTGTTTTGTCCCCTCCCTGTTCTTATATTATTTTTGCTTCCCTTCCCATATGTTCATCTGTTTTGTATCTTAAAGTCCTCATAAAACATTTGACGTTTTTAAAAATAACAGATCAGAATGACAGTAGAATTTTAGAACTGTTCAGTGCAAGATTAGTCCTTTACGTAATTTTTAGTCGGTAAAATTTCTTTAATACAATTCTGCCATTCTACCACCTTTTCAACAAACTTCTTTTAAGCAGTTCCATTTCCTCACCGATTTGTTCATAAGCCAAGTGATACTCACAATGGTTTGCAAACTTTGACTTACAATTTACATCTTAGCTGCCAGCATCAGAAACAGTGTGAGGAGCTATTTGTTGCTGACTCCTGGAAAAAGAACTAGCTGGAAGTCACGGAAAACAGAGAGAAGAGATTTCTCAAGCCCACTGGTAACTGTTATAGGCAATGTGGATTACATAGGTATATGACATTTATATATTAAGCCACAGAATTAAAGTACAAATTTTTCAAAAATCGATATTTTTTTTTAATGTTTGTTTATTTTTGAGAAAGAGCTCGAGTACAAGCCGGGGAGGAGCAGAGAGAGACGGAGACACAGAATTCGAAGCAGGCTCCGGGTTCTGAACTGTCAGCACAGAGCCCGATGTGGGGCTTGAACCTACAAGCTGTGAGATCATGACCAGAGCCAAAGTCAGACGCTTAACCGAGTCACCCAGGGACCTCTAAAAATCACTATTT